TGGAGCATCATTAATATCATTACCATCCTCGTCAAGCAATTTTGCATCTTCATTAAATTCTTTAAGAGCCTTATAGCATCGCTAATCATCTACAGATAGTGCCATTAAATACAACTTATTCCACTTAAGCCATCGCATTATTATGTCAAGCAACATTTGCGTTTTACCAGACCCAGATGGACCTTTGATCATTGATATGATAGAATGTGATAGCGCTGGATCATGTTTGACTGGCTCTTACTTTCGTGTTGATGAAAAATCAATGATTTCCATGTTGTACATATGTAACAAATAATATGAATTTATATTGTGTTCGATGTAGAAATCACGTCAGTGGATTGACAACAATAACGACTCGAAATAAAAAGCGTGCACTTACAGGCAAGTGTATCAAATTTGGTACAAAAATACAAAATTATCTCTAATAAAACAGATGAACATATCGTTGCTTCACTGGGTAGATTGCCAGAGGCTCCATGGGTTAAATATCTTGATGAAAGAATCTTCCTGGATATATTTATGCATTATAAAATTTGTAGCACATCGTATCATTAAAAATTATGAGCCATCTCGTGATGGTGTCATCAAAAATTGTAAACTAAGAACACCAGTCATTCAGTTGATAATGCTGGTTATCTTAGATTTACTGTTGGGAAAAAGGTATCTCTGTCATAAATTTATCTATGAATGTTTTCTTGGACTGATCGAGAAAGGTTTTGTATTTGACGGCAGATTAAAAGATAATTATTTGAATAATTTGCAGGTTATTACAGAGAGTCAGAATTCTTCACGAGGGGTACTGGAAAATATAGTGAACGTGCAAGACCTGTTCTATCTGTGAATGTAGACACATGGGAAGAAATAGAATTTCCATCGATATGTACAGCTTCCAAACATTTTAATATTTTCCCATTTTCGGTATAACATGTCGCTGATAAAATATCCAGATCAGCATTCTGAAGAAATACAAACAGCAAATACTATTTAGGTATCTCACTTTTGAAATAGAACAAGAAAATACTTCTGAATTTCACTATAAAAATACTCTGAGCTTCATGATAAAAATACTGAAGTAGAACAAGAAAATATTGTTATTTTGTTGTGTTTTAATTCTTGATCTCCGATTTTGTTGTTTTTTTTTTTTTTAAAAAAAGAACAATACTTTAGAATTATATTTGTTGACAATGTCAAGGGAGATAACTAAGTCTAAAGATACATAGAGCGATTAAATAGTAACCTCGCTTTTATTTTGCAATACTATTGGCTTATAATGAATTATTTTTGTTTGTTTTTTTATCATTAGTACAACATGTTTCAAACAACCAAATCGGCATTTTCAAAAACTAAAAACACCGAATAATATTTAAGTATATCTCTCCTGAACTAAGACCTGGAATATTCCTATCGTAAGACAAAGTAATTCAACGTCCTTTACAAAGTGAAGGGAAATAACTCTGTCAGCGAAGGTAGAGCTATTAAAAAGATTGCATTTACAATAATTAGTGAATTATTTTTTGCTTAGTTTTTAAAAAGAAACATAATCTTTATTTTTCTGACTTTGTCAGGTTTCTTGCTAATCTCCGATTTTGTCGGGGATAATAGTTCAAAAAAAGAGATAAAGCAGGCAATTGAGCTACATCTGGACTTCCTGGCACTAAACACCTTATATAATTTATAGCCCATATTACTAGTGGGTACTATTTTTCCCTGGCATTAAACACCTTATATAATTTATAGCCCATATTACTAGTGGGTACTATTTTTCCCTGACATTAAACACCTTATATAATTTATAGCCCATATTACTAGTGGGTACTATTTTTCCCTGGCATTAAACACCTTATATAATTTATAGCCCATATTACTAGTGGGTACTATTTTTCCTTGTGGTTAATCATGAGCGGGTAGGCAGAAATCTGTGGAACATAGAATTATGTGTATATGCCGTCCTTAGCTTCCTGTAGCTTAAAGGTGTATTTAGAAGGTATTTACTGTAAATAAGTTGTAAATATTTAAGATTGTATATACTGTAAAAAATGTTTTGCCGTCATTATATAATGTAAATAAATTCCTGGTTTGTGGAATACAAATATTGTTTGAATATATATATATATATATATATATATATATATATATATATATATATATATATATATATATATATATATATATATATATATATAATGAATTACGAAAATGTTAATGTGATCATTTCTGCGATTGAAAAATTACATGATGATAGTATCCAAATTTATTTTTTACATATTTTTGTTCAGAATTAGATTCTAATATTTTCTTGAGCTTATCAAATATAATACGGGATGGAGCATAATTTAGATTTCAGTTTTTATCACATCCAACTTTAATATGTTCTCATCGCAGCTTATATAACTGTTCTTGCGTTAACAAAAAAAATCATCGCTGTATTATTCAATAAGTATTTTGACATAAATTCTTCTCTGTGGGAAATGTCAATGCTGTTCTGATGGCGCTTTCGAGTTCCAATTTGTTGTATACAAAACGCTCGTGTTGGTAGATACATAATACCACATAAATAATTATTGACCAAACTTAAAAGTATATTATTTATTATATTTTTTTTACAAAATCGTGAATTTGAGCGTACAGTAAAATTTATATTTAAAACTATCCTTTTAAATCAACAAGGTATCCGTGTTGATTAGTAAGTTGACATGTATACGTGACAATAGCGTATTATGACCTCGAAGATAAACCTGGTTAACAGGTTCTAGCACAATAAAAAAATCGGGCGGGGAGGGGGGACTTAAGGAATGAATATGTATAAAATGTATCCCTGCTGGGCCTGACTGGTTTGTTGTTTGTTTGTTGTTGGGCCAACGCCATTTGTCAACACACGATAGGCTATTCATGGCGGCCAGTATTAATGGTGGAGGAAGAAACCGGGAAATCACCGGAAAGAACAACCGACCCACGAGAAGCTACTGGCAAGCTTTCTCACATATCCACATTCGTCGAATCCTAGACTCGAACTTACGCAGAGAGAGAGTAGAGATGGCAGTGATCCGTAACGGACAGCGCTTTAGACCACTCGGCCATTCGGCTTGACTGAAGTTTTCAAGATCTACTTGATAGCTGTGACCAATCTCATCACATACATGATTGATTGTGATCGCTGATGTGATTGTGACAACAAATGGTGAAACAAGACGATCACCAACGTGACCATCATTGCTATGCTTGAGGATGTAAGCCAGTGGGGATATTTTTTTTTCTCTATGATTCTAATATTGCTGGACAATGTTCATTGATGGCATCGATGACGGCTTTTACCAATTCTTCGTAAGTAAGTCCGGTAATGCAAATGTTAGCAGTTCTATATCTGTCTCTGTTACTTTATACTGTGTTACAAGTAATTGTTTAAGAGTCATTTTATGGGAACCTTTGATATTAATATTTTCATTGCTAGTATTCAATGCAGCTTGGTTTCGATGTTGTGTCGTTTCTATGATCTGTTGACGCGTATCATCGTTGTAGTATAGTGATATACTGAAAAGTATATTTCATAGATCATCGAGTATCCGTTGATGTTCAGATTTAATTGCTTCGGAAAAGTCTTTAATGAGTTTTTAGTCGCCGATCGGATTTGTATCGTTGTCTAAAATATATAGAATTCTTGCCATCTTATGAAACCTTGTGCCATCAGACTCAATAAAAAAAAGTTTTTCGTCGGTTACCCGTCCACTTATATACCATCATGGACATTTTTTCGATGCTGTGGAAGTTTTAAAAATATTCGTTTATTTGAAACAAAATCAAATTGTTGTGGTTGCGGTATCGCTAAAGGTGCTGGTGGTTGTACTTCTGGCCATCCTAGCACACTTCGGATAGACGACTGATATATATCGACGCTGTAGTCAGGCGTTGATATTTCTATCGCGGCTGATAGTGTTGGCTCATGAACCGTGATAGCGATCTTAGATTCTTTTACTGTGATAGATTTGATCCTGCGTTGGATCTCATCGTTGATCTTTACGATTTGATAACTGTCCGTAGGTATGTTTACATCATTCTAATTGGACGTTCCATTAGGTTTTTTTTTTATAAGCAAATGCCGGTGAATTATTTGCTTTCAACTTTGATCTAATATTTGGTCAGCTGTGATACACCCGTAATTGTGTTAGTGCTATTTGCTTCGCTGGAGTCTCAGTTGGAAAGCTAATGTTGAACTCGGGATTGATTGAGCTTGCTGATATCATCGTGTTTTTTTTTTTTTTTGGAGGAGTTGTATTAGCGACGATCTGTTGTAGTAATTCTTGCGATATTATTATTGATATCCAGATTTCTTATGTTGGAGACTGCTGCGTCTTTTCATTATCTGAGACGGCGGTGTCTGGATTTCCAGTTGCTTCATGGCAAACTTTAATCATTTCTAAGAAATCCTGATTTGATATTATTCCATCATTGAGCCCAGATGATATTAGCGACGACGATTTGATGTATACGTGTGTTGCCACTGATTATTTAAATAGTCGTGTAATTTATCAGCCACACACGTAGATATTTTTTGCGATGATGTTAAGATTACCAGTAACACCGGTTATAACTGCAACACCAATTCCTATTACTGGTACTATTATGTATGTGTCTGATAATGTTCCTATGACTGTTACTGTTCGAATGACTATCGTGGACACTGAGGATATATATATATATATATATATATATATATATATATATATATATATATATATATATATATATATATATATATATATATATATGTCGGTACTGTATACGCATCAATGATTTTTTTTCAGTTGGGTCTGCCATAAACCTAATTGCTCGTACCTGCAACATCACTTTGAACGTGATTCGATTGGTTCATTATGTAAACTACGAACACTCTAAGTAGGTGGTAGTTTGGCGACGAATTCAATGTACGAACATTAAAACACACCGAGATTTTTTCTTTGGGTTCCGTCACGAATGTTTCCTCGTCATCTTGCTCCAATATAACCGCTCCGGTGGCCTAGTGGTTAGAGCGACCGCCTCGGATTCGGGAGGACGTGGGTTCTATTCCCGGTCGAGTCACACCAAAATCTTTCAAAAATGGTACTAACAGCTGCCTCACTTGACGCTCAGCATTAAGAGGTTAGTGTTAGAACTGGTCGGCCTGGTGTCAGGATAATGTGACTGGGTGGGACATCATACTACATGTCTGCGGCATGATGCCCCAGTACTGGACATCACTATAAACTGCCACACTGCAGACATCAAAGCGATATGACTGAAAACTTGTTAAAGCTACGTTAAAAATTATAAACACCACATCCTTGCTCCAATATCACTAGCATAGATCCAGAAGATCCAGTTAGTGGGTAACGCAGTGAAATTGTGGTGGATATTGTAAATGTTGTAGCGCCGATTACTGAGAACCTGTACATGCCGGTAACATTAACGCGATGTTTTATTGATTTATTGAGTCATGTCCATGACGCTGATTCAGACGCTACTGTATATATTACACCATCTGTAATCTTCTTTATGACATAGAGTTTAATATCAATTACCGCTGGTTTTTAAAAAAAATAATGAATTGTTTAATTTGTGATTCTACGAAAATTTGTAAAAGCGGCTACATCAGTAGCAAATTCAGATCTAAATAAAGCCATTCCATCAAATTATTTTCATTAACGAGTTCATAGAGATGTTGCTATTATCGATGTATTTCTTCATCGCTTGTTTCTGGTTCTCCAAAACAAGTAATTTTATTATTAGCCATATTGAGAGAACATGTCATTGTATCACCGGCAGATAGTAAACAATCATTGATCTCAGTTCTGATCGTGTCGTCATTGATGTCTTTTTATTTATTTTTTTTTTGCCACATCATCGTCTGATTTTGGTTCTCTCACTTTGATAATTGTATTTTTGCTTGTGTTGAAATCGTCATTCATAATATCTCTAATTCTTCTGATATGTCCAGCGATCTCCCCCATGATTGTTAAGATTGGTTCCTCCTAGATTTAATTTTAATGTTATTTGCAAACACCACTAAGTTATCTTCCCTCGTATATGGAACTCGCAGAATAATATCTGTCGATGGGATATTGCTCTTCTTTAATCGTCTTTGCTTATCCTGAAAAACAACTTCAATGTGGTCCACATCTGTGAAACTTTAAAAATTAGAGGACTCATTCTTGACCTCGTCAATGGTTGCATATTTGGATAAGTCACATCGGGGCTTGCATCTTGCAGATCTGCCGTAAATATTCACCATTGTATATTACAGGGTTAGGGTTAGGCCTGTTTAAAACGTTGGACGACGTGGTATACTCGTGCACGACTTTAAGAGGCGTTATTAGGGATCTTAACAGAGCGTCGAGTACAGCGAGTATTTCACGTGTCCAGATATTGGCGGATCGGTTATTGTCAGTGTTAGTAATACTAAATTCCGGACGGGAGTTTGAAGCGGTGTGCTTTGCACTCTGCCGACATATTTTAAAAATTTGTTGGTGGAGCCAACCCATACAAATTGAAATAAACAACTCCACATGGATCAATCGCGTATGCAACCGAATACGTACATGTGCCAGAACTTTCATCGAGATTAATGATACCAGTTTCCTGCAGTTTTGTTTATTTTTGGTAATTAATCACGCATAAAAACACCTGACGTTTGTGATGTTTAAATTTTAGCAGCATGAGGTAAGTCAAAATTGAACAAGGGTATGCATGTTTAGCGAAGTGTCCCGGGTTGTCTTTAACCTCGACCGTACAACGAACATTTCCATTTATGGAAATCTTTATTACGTGGCCTGTTACTTTCTTCAATGCCATCCCATCATCAGTTTCAACAGCACCAAGTGCAGCTACTTTTGCATCAGCTTGAACTGCATCGGCTATCAACACTGGTATAGCTGCAAGAACTGGAAATATACCACTCGTCGTGGCAATGTTTCTTCCGCAGAAAGATTAAATCCAACGCCCGTCCTTGGTCGTTTGGCTTCAGTGAAAAGCCTGAGTTGACGTTCTGTCAGTGATAGTTTATTTGGACCACCTGCGACCTATTTTGATTTCAGCGATATTTTAATTCCACAGTTCCTTTTTTATACGGATTGTAGCTTTTAGATCTAACTTGGAGCCAGACTGACATTATAATATAATGAGCGATTTAATTACATGTTTTTTACTCGGGCATCGATGACTCTCATTCGTCCGTCAACGCCTTAAAGCAACATTGTTTTATCTGAGAGTATAACAGCGATTGCTCTATAACCTTCAGCGGGCAGTCGAGCTATACGAAATCGGAAGTGTATATCAACGACTGATTGTCTGAACAAATTCAAGTGTTCTAGTGAGAGATAATAGATCAGATATAATATTGTGAAATCCCGCTGAGTTATCTGCAAGCCTGATTCAACATTCTGATCATCCCCAAAAATTTCATCAACCGATGATAAGCACGTGCAACATGATTATTCTAAAAAATCAGCAACACTTCTTCAGAAGGTTCTTGATGTCCATTTATCCTCAAAGAAACGTCATTAATACTATTAGATTTCGTTCCTGCAAATCTTCCCTGGGATTTTCCTGAAATGCGGTGATTATATGTCGTGGTGCTGACACCCCCCTGCTGTGATGATATCCGCCATGTGAATAACCCAGCATTATTACTTTTAACACTGTCTGTGGTCATCGTCATCGTCTACCATGATAATGTTGATTTATCACCTTGATCCATGAGAAAGAGAGAGAAAACCGTTGTTCTTTGGCAAGTGATGGAGTCATTAGTGATGAAAGTTTTGTTAGTTTTACGTTACCTGCATCAATGCGTTGGGTCGCCAGATTGCATCATTGTCGGTAGCTTTTCTAACAAGTACCACGGTGTAATTAGCGCCAAAAAATAACTTTTCTAACATATCCTGTCGAATGAAGCTTTATTTTGGTTTGAAAATCTAGTCTGTTCACCCTCTCTGCTGATGAAGCAAAGTTTTGATGCAGATCATTGGTACGAGATTGCGATTCGTTTCTGGAAATACAGAACTGCTACCGAAGTCTATTTTAATGCATTAGAGAAATAGTGCATGAATCGCAATCACATCCTGCAGTACGCGTGAGTGGTGATTCTGTTGGTGAAAGCCTTCGTTTAATATCAAGAAGTGGCAAATTCAAACTTATACATCGGTTTAGACCCATGCAATGTTTCTTTGACCGAATAATAGTTGCAGTATGTGTGATAAAACAAACGTCGCTCGCGAAGACATTCTGCATACATGTCTCGCCGTAAGTCCTTTTACATAATCAAGCGTCTCGATTCCACTACAATCCAATACATTTTCCGGAGTTGTCCTACTTATTCCTCGATATGTTTATCTAAGCATTTGCCTTTTAATTTTCTTACGACTTTTTGTTGGTAATGAAAATCCATACCTGTATTATCATCCAACTCCTCCTCCCATATTGATTGGCCATGCAGTAGACTAATTGATCAACAGAGAAACAATAAGAAAATAATCAAAAAATCATAATGTAAATCTTCCCGGATCCCCCCTCTGTCTCTGTCTCTGTCTCTGCCTCTGTCTCTCTCTCTTTGAACCACATTAGCAAGCTACGAGCAAAAATCTATGAATAAAGAGCGTTGCAGACTTTCGTTTGTGTCATGCGATGGTGTCTCCTGACCTATGACTGATGCTAAATTTTACAAACGGACCATCGGAAAGGAGTAAAGAGAGATGGAGAATACCCACAATCTTCTGTTCATTAGCAATGTAAGTTAATTAGAGCATAATAATGATTGAGATCAACTGTAAACAGAGTTCATTGTTTGAATTACCTCTTGATAGTTCCTCATTTTCGATTAGTATATATTCCCAACTTCTTCAACATATTTCCCCATGACTGAAATGCTCAGCGTTCAGAGTTCAAAAAGCTATTCATTCTGTATTTGTAATGTTCAACTTTCTTTATTTGGATCTTCGTTCGTGCTTAAATCAGAAGTGTCTTTATTTATTCTATAAGAATGAAAATTAGAGCTAAAAAATCTGCCACTTTTTCTCCCAGAAACTTCTGTATAACTGGTGTTTTTTTTCTCAAAAATTTAAAAAAAAATCATAACAATTCACAACGAGGCTGATCATAAGGTCAAACTGCCTGTGCATGCATGACGTGTTTACGACGTCACTTTTTTGAGCAGTATGACAAACGACGAGTCTCTTTCAGATCAACAAATACATTTTCCCTCTTCATTAAAAGCCTATGATGTTCCGGATTCCCGTCAACAGCCATTGGTATTAATTTACGTTGGCTATTCAAACGCTATACAGTATGGAAGTAAACAGGTACATTTTTTTCTTTTCATTTGCAGGTGGTGTCCAGCGTTCTTTCTCTACCTGACCTCGACACTTCCAACAGTTTGGCTCCTGGAGCTCAAACTTCAGTACAATTACATATCTTCCCTGTCAGGTCCAAGCAGCACAATTTCCCATGTACTTCCCACAGGAATGACCGACAACACGAACCTCACAGTTTCTACGATCTCGGCAACTATTAATGTCACCAATGTGTCGGCCTCGACCACGACAACAACAGAACCAGTAAGAAGATAAACTTAGAACTTTTCACTATTATTATTATTATTATTATTATTATTATTATTATTATTATTATTATTATTATTATTATTATTATTATTATTAACTGAGATATTTTTAAGTATATTTGTTTATAAAGTCGGACAAAAAATTCTAAGATGTCTATATTATTGCCCACCCAGCCGAAATCTTATAGACATTTCTGTCTCAGCCTGCATACATTGTGCTTTTTATGTTTTTTTGTGTGTATGTGTGTGTGTGTGTGTGTGATTTGGATTTTTAAGGTAGCTTTAACAATTTTTCAGTCATGCCGCTATGGAGTCTGCAATTATAGTGATATCTAGCACTGGGGCATCACATTAAAGACATGTAGTATCATGTCCCATCCAAATCATATTATTCTGACACCTGGCCGACAAGTCATAACACTGACCTCTTAAGGCAGCTGTTAGTATAATTTTGTAAGTCTTTGGTATGACTCAGCCGAGGTTCGAACCC